CTGTTCCCCTCCCCTAATTCCCCAATAAAATCTTTAAAAAAAAAAAAAAAGTGAAACCCCTGACTAGTCTAGTACCCACCTGGCACTATACATAGTTATTACCATATTACTGACTATATTCCCTATGCTATTGACTTACAACTGCATGACTATTTTGTAACTACCAATTCGTATTTCTAAATCTCTTCACCTTTTTTACCCAGCCCCCAAACCTAATCCCATCTGACAACCATCAGTATGTTCCCTGTATCTATGAGTCTGTTTCTGTTTTGTTTGTTTGTTCTTTAGATTCCACATATAAGTGAGATCATATGGTATTTGTCCTATTCTGTCTGAGTTAATTCACTTAGCACAATACCCTCTAGGTCCACCCATGTTGTCACAAATGGTAAGATTTCATTTTTTTTATGGCGAATAATATACCATTTAAAGCTTCCACATTAAACCCCTTATAGTCAATCAGAAGTTTTTAAAAGTGTAACAAAACAAAAAAACAAGTAGAGTTGGGGTGAGGAGTCTATGGGGTGAGGTGAATATGGTAATGTTGTTAGTTATTTCCCACTCAAAATGTACAGTGTTTCTGTGATTCCATGAATTTCAAGAATTTAGGGGGCCTCACCAAGGGAACTTGCCACTGTTTGTAGTGTTATTTCTGTGATAAAATGATAAAGAATATTTGGAAAAATTAAAAGTTTTTGGTAAATGGGCATTGCCTACACACCAAAGATCACTTCCAAAATTCTGAGCCAAAGGTCTGTGAAGGCTTAAATAAAGGATTAGTTGGGGGGGGGGGGTAATTTTCAATTGCAAAGAATTCAAATTGAACTACTGATGATGGTGTCACCAATAACAAGTGAGACTGATAACAAATATGAATTTCTGGAGCGTGGGAAAGTGACTAAGAAAAGTTGCTTTAAACCTTTGTTTTCCTAACTACTTTGCAGAAAAGTCACCAGTTTACACTGCCAGAAAGTCACAGAGCCCTAGGTTTATAGTTTGGGTGTGGGGGAGGGGGGAGGAGTAGGAGCACAAATGACAAAATACACATACACACACACACATACACACACACACACACACACACACACACACACACACAGACATAAATATGTCCACACAGTGCTGTCAGTGATTTTTTTTTTATATATACATCAAGTATGTGAAAGCTACTGTTGGGGTCGGTGATCATTGAGTCCTGTGTATAGCTACAGCTTCACAGTCCGACAACTAATAACCCACAATATCAAAAAATGTTCATCTTTGTTCACACTACTGAGCGCTCTCTCTCCTACCCTCTCTCCACGCCTCACTCCACTTCCACTCCCCTAAAATTAGTGTCTGAAAAGCACATCTCTTCTGGAAGTCGTCAGGACATGTTAGCCCCGTTCAATCAAGCAGAGCAGGCAACACACGGCTTCCGCTCGCGCCCACTCCCGAGGCAGGCTCCAGGCACGGTCTCAGGAGCGCGGGCATCGCGGGCATCCGAGGTGCCCAACTTTCTCCCACCTCCGCTCTCCGTTAGAGTGTGTACGAGGCGCAGCAGCTTAATGGGGAAGAGAGGACAGTCCTCATCTCGGAGAGAATGGCCAGCACGGGATGGAAAGGGCCAGAAGGTTGTGATCAGAGTTTGGCTAAGCAGGCCACAGCTGGAAAGGTCAACCGGAAACCAACTGCGCGGAAAGAACGCGGCGGGGGCACGTTTCCTCCCGCAATCTCCATCAACCACCCCCCGCAGCAAGCCAGTCTGAATCAGCACACAGTCCGAGAGCTCACAGGGTGTCCGTTCTGCAGCTTCCACACCAACGCCGGACTCCTGGGGAACCGCACCCCTCTCCCCCGCCCAAAGAAGAAACGAAATCCGAACGGTCACCCCTTCCCCTTCCGATTCAGAAATGACGGGGCTGCGCCCACTTGCACTTCCTTGCTAGGAAGGGAGGCCCGGGAGGGCGCCCCAAACGCTTGCCACCCTCCCTCCCCACCTCGTCGGGGCGACGTCGGGGTCCGGGGAGCCCGTGTGTGGCTCCGGGCGCTGGGAGGCGGAGGCAGGGCTCGGCTCGGCCTCGGCTCCCCGCAGCCAGTCCGGGTCCCGCCCGCGATCTCGCAGGCTGAGCCCGCCGCCCTTCCGCGCAGCCCCTCCGGGCATCCCGCCTCACCTTGTCCTCGGTGGGCGCCGACCGGTCCCCGCCGCTCCCAGCTCCTGGGTCCGGGGAGGGTAGGCCACGAAGTGCCGGCAGAGATTGGGATGCGAGCCGGGAGGAGGAGGTGTTTGTTTGCTCAACTTCGGAGGACGTCAGGCCTCCTCCTCCCGCAGCCAATCAGCGGCCGTCCTGAGGGAACAACCTTCTCCTCCGCCAATCGGCGGCGCTGCCAGGTGCTGGGTCATGCCCCGCCCCTGCTCCTCCCCGAAAATCCTTCTGCCTTCTAGATCGCTGACTTGCGCCCTTAGCTGGGGCATCACGTCCTCCCAGGACAGTTATTGACCAAGTTTGTAACTGTCCGTAGCAGAGAACAGGCAGAGGCGGAAAAAGACGCAAATTGTCTGGGCCTTACACGCCCAGGTGTGTGTATCTCCTGGAAAAAAGTTGGAAGCTCACATATATCACGTTTGTTTAGCGCTCTGCGCTTTTCAAAGCAGTTTCACAGCCTCATAGCAAGCCGAGGAAGGCAGATGACAGTTCTTAGAACAGTTTTAGAGCCCAGCAAACTGAGACTGACAAATTAGTATATCCATAATGAATATTAAGAATCCATGTGCATATGACAAAGTCCAATGTTCTTTAAAAGCCCTAAGTGACTCTAAAGGGACAAAGAAAAATGCATTTCATAAAAACAGCACTAGAGGTTGAAGAAACGCCAAAAGCCCATCTGTGGTTCTCTTGGGGAGCCCATGGCCAGAACGTTATCTTTCCTCCTGTTTTTATATCTTTCTCCAACACTTACACTTTTCTCATACCTGCCACAGATGTGTTAAACTATTAAACTCTCCTGTCAATAATCAGGAGCCTGAAACATTCTTATAAACTCCACTCATATCTCTAACTGCAGAGAAAGCTAGACTCTTCTCTGGAAGTTGCAATTTTCCACTGTATCTTTAGCTTCACATATCCAAAATCATATTCCTGAGAACTCCTCTAAACTCTTTTCATCTTGTCGTGTTTCCTAGCACTATTCTTGAAATCACCAACTTCCTAACCACCGCCTGGCCAGGCCTGAAACATCAAGTGTGCTTCAGTTCTTCCTCTGGTTCGTCAGACTCACCCATGGCATCGACTTCGTCCTTTAAAATCCCTTCATTATCCGTCTTTCAAACCCCTTTTATTCACTACCTAGACCATATTCCCTTAAGCACACAGCTCTGATCTTCTCATTGGCCTGAGCCAAAAACCCCTGGGCTACTCACTATCTGTAGAACGTCACCCAAAGTCCTTTACACAGTGCATCAGTTGCTTCAAGATATGGCCAAAATCAGCCATCTCCACTTTATTACAGCAGAGCCAGCCTGAAGCCAACTCAGGAACACAATCCATGCTTTGCTATCTCCCTAAGGATTAAAAGCCTGGATCAGAATTCCTACTTTTCCTCCTCAAGCTGTAAATCATGGGCAAGTTACTTAGTTTGCAAAATAGCCTAAGCTGCCTTTTCTGTTAGTAGGAACTACTTCATGGGATCATTACAAGGAGAGAATGAAACGATGCCCAAATAGTTCTAGCTAAAGAAACTGGCAATTATTATTTATTTTTCCCCAGGAATCTCATGGTGTCCACTTACCTGTAATTCTCATTTACAAAAATGTCCACCTCTTTAAAACTAACCCATCCTTTATGGTTCACCTCAAACACCACTTCATCAATGAAGCTGTCCCTGAGTATTTCATCCAGCTATGTTCTCTCTCCCTTCTCTCTTATGTGTTTTCTCTCTTGTTGTACTTACCACGGTCTTCTGTATCCAATAGTCATTTGTATTTATCTTATCTCCATTCCTCACCTGTCATCGCCACCTTAAAACCTTAACAAAAGTAAATATACATACTAGGCCTTTCTTCCCGCCCCCCCCCTTTGATGATTCTAGCACAATGCTGTGCATGTGGCATGTAACAGGTAAGTCAGGGTCTCAGAAGGAAACAGATGGCACAATCCAACTGGGTGAATTAGGAGACATGAAGGGTGTGCAGGGATAAAGGAAGGTAACTAAAGATAGTGAGGCACCCTGGGACTAGCAACAGTGAGAGCGACCCATAGGCCTTAGTGGGGCCAGGGGAAGAAATGGTTACCGGAACTCAGAAGGAAATCTAGCTATGATGTAGCTGAAGCTATAGGGAGTACCACCCAACAAAGGCAACTTTGAGCAGGGATGGAGCTGCCTAAAAATCAACTCCATCCAGAGAAGGAACTACCTAAAGCAGGGGTCAACAAACTCTTTTTCTGCAAAGAGCCAGAAAATAAATATTTTAGGCTTTGCAGGCCATAAGGTCTCTGTCACAATTGCTCAAGTCTGCAATCTGGAGTGTAAAAGGAGCCATAGACAATACTTAAATGAGTGGGCATGGCTGTGTGCCAATAAAACTTTATTTATAAAAACAAACTGCAGGCCAGATATGGAATAACAGTGATAGTTTGCAGACCCCTGGCCTAGGAAATGAATAAGTTGACTTCACTCTCCTGCCTTCTCATCTCCTACTGGTGCCTTCTACATATTTAACACAAGAAAGTCAGGGGATTGGTGCAGCCCATCAAGGTCAGTCCCTCAGGCACAGAGGCAGTAGAGGAGAAGAAAGAAGGCCTAGAGGGTTCAAAGGAGAAAATCCAGCACAAAAGGTGTTAAACAAATGCTTGTTGAGATGAGTGAATCCTACGATTAGTTATTGTGAATTTCTCTGCAAATGGCTGAACACTCATGGGAAAACTCTCAAAATGGCATTCTCGAATGAGCAACGCTGGGAAAGGGCCCTGGGGCTTGGTGACACCACCAAAGGCCCATGAGGTCAGTCAGCTTCTCTCTTGCTTTACTTGGAAATGTCATGCACCTCTGACGTGCTGTCACCCTGATGAAACATTAACCTGACCAAAAACCCTGCCTCTCTGAATTTGAAACTACTGTCCAAATGCTTGTGGTTTTCAGAAATTTTGCAACATATACACATGAGAAATACTGCTTCTTAAAATGGGGACTTCAAATTCAAATGTTTTCTGTTATAATCAAATTTGTTGTAAGGGTGACAGGTCTCAAATTGTTTCACTATGAAAAGAGAAAATGGATGAGAGAAAAAAACAAGGCTTGAATATACCTAGGTCAGTCCCCACTCTGGAGTCAGTCCTCAGACTCCCTCAATATGGGAGAACCCTTCCACTCATATGAAGTGCTGGGACGACACTCCTGAAATTGCAAAGTTGATTCTAGTTCACTCAAGCTGACTCTCTTTCTCCCGCCTTCTTTGGCTTTCACGCCTCCCTAGTTGCTCCCTATTTATATACTAGTCTTCCTGAGAGACCATGAAGGTAGTTATGCATGTAAACATTGGAGTGAACCAGACCTAAACATAATCCCTCCTTTGCCAACTCACTAGCAGGTCATTTTGTCTCTTTAAGCCTCATTGTACCCATCAGGAAAGTGGGAAACATAGAAGGTTAAGTTCTCAGAAAGATTAAGTGATACACGTTCTCAGTACAGGTGAGCTATTCTTGGGGCTTCCTATTTTATTCTGTCTCATCCTCCCTTCCTCTCTCTTTGTATTCAGAACCCAGCCCCATTCTTAAATGACCTTTGCCATAAAGAGAAAAGAGGTGGACGTATGGGGACGAGGAGGAAGAAATATGGAGTGCTCCTAAGTTTGTTCTATTGATTTCTCAAGATATTGTATTTCTTACATGAACACCAATTTTTATGATATCACCTGTAATCTGCCCACCGTAATAAAATTATTCTACTTATTATAAATAGAAGTTTCGCATAGACAGAAAGTGCTAATAAGTACAAAATAAGAAATAGTTTGGGAAAGAAAAGTTCCTAAATGACAACTACTCTGTTGCCTAACTCCCAAATTCACTTGGGAATGAAACATATCTTCTTTCCCATCAACAAATGTAAACATCTGATCAGGTAAGACAAGAGCAGGAACCACCCACTGGTAAATGGCAGTTCCGGCAGACAGGTTCTGGGAGGAGACAGTGATATCCTGGGGGAATGGTATTCTCCCGACTCTTAGGTAAAAGAAGCAGAGAAAACTAATTACTAGTTCACCTCCTCTACCGTTAGGAAGTCTTCCTGAAAAATTTTTGAGAAAATTCCAAGCTGCCTGACATTTTCAGGGTCAACGTTTGTTGATTTCTCGTGTTTCACAAAGTCCTCAAGTGTCCATGGCGTCCTGGGAGCGTCAGTGAGTCACATGTGCAGGCGTAACTCAGGGCAAATCTGCTGCCCCTTATCTCCTGCTACGAATAACTACTAGTAACTAATAACTAGTAACTACTAATAATTAGTAACTACTGTTACTAATAACTGTGGTAGGTCTACCAGCACTTAGAAATTTTCAGGTATACATCACTGTATTCTATAAATCGGGTGAGAGTTATATGCTATAATAACATAAGCAAATTTGGGGAATACAAATTTGTGGATATATCTCACAGACACGTTGAATCTAATATATTCAAATCAAAAATGAAAATCCAGTGCTCCTCCTCTTAGCTTCTCTTGAATGAAGGTCTCAAAAGAGAAGATGTCTTGAAGGACTAAGGAAAGATTGGAGACAGGAGGGAGAAAGTAATTAAAATGAAAATGAAACACAAGTGCAATTTTTTTGAATAATCATTAGTGTCCTTGAGCTGGAGACAACTAACAATCCAGGGTGGGGAGGTCAGGAGAGTCAGGGTTTTTTTTTTCTAGTCCCAGTCTGGATCAGGTACTGAATGAAACCAATCTTTTACAGTAGTTGTCGCACTATAGACATAGAAAGCAGGAAAGAATACAAAAAAATGGTTTTTTGCAGTATAAGAAGTAGCAGCTAAAAACAAAACAAAAACAAAAAAAGAAGTAGCAGCTAAGAAAAATAACGTCAGCATTGGCAAGGTCACAGCAGGAAGCTTGAAAATAAGGTAGAGGAAGTATTACTGATGTTGAACTCGCTCCCATGATAATTGCCATTTGCACAGCTCCCCTGAAACAAACGTAATGGAATTTGAAAGGAAAAGGAAAAGAGCATCGAAGGAGGGTGTTCCCACAGGACTGTGTAGTGTTGAACTGCCCACAATAGGCACAAGCCTTTT